GATGATGATCTGCATTTTCAGGTGGCTACAAGAGGCTTAGTTCATTTTTACTTCACTATTCTCACAAGTGTAGTAGACTCACTGGTGTTCATATTAACAGCTACAAACATGTTTACTAAAGATATACCAAAGCAATTAACCCTACAGCAGCCAACCAACTAAGGGCCCATTTTACTACACAGCACTCTTGCTCATACGTTCACACACTTGAAATGGGTCTGCACAATGGACCATCTCATCCATTATCAAGAGTTTTCTAAATGAATAATCACAGATTACAGGCTTATTGACAATAACTCAACACTTCATTTAGAACCTTCACTGTGGATAGACACAGCCATGATGCTAATGTCAAACCCACAAGATAACCACTGTGATTAATCATCACCAAATATACAAAACACACACACTGTAACCATAATCCACACTCAATTTGTACAAACATGAAAGCACATACGTGCATTGCACAGTTGCCCACAAAGACATAAGGGAGGCAGCAGTCTCTGTAAGTGTGACAAAAGATGAGAGGCAGGAAGACGGATGACAGCATGAAAGACAGCGAGAGGATTAGTGAAACTATCTCATGTGCTTTCCATTTGCATGCTTGTTCTGTGCACCTGTATAGTACGAGCACTGTGCACAGAGAGTCCTTTCATTCACTGACACTCCACCAGCTATGGATGCTCGAGGCATAGTAGCCAACACATGGAGTGTGAGTCACTCAAGAAGCCTTATTGGAAAAAGCTCTCGCTTGGTAAACAGTTTCACAGCAGCAATCAAAGGAGGCAGATCCGTACATCATTTAAGGGCAGAGATGATGACCAGGAAATTACAAAAGTAAAGAAATGTCGCTGTCTAAGAGCTGGTGCAAAACAGGCAGATGTAAAATAACGAGGATTCTGCATGCATACAAAATGTAGCCATTATGTACGAATAAACTAACAGTACAGTCTTAACACATGGCACAAAGCTGTATATCTAATACATGAAGACACTTTTTAAAGCTGAATTGGCTTGTGTTGGTCGATCCTTTAGTAGCGGCCAGTGACAGGACAGTGAAAGGCTCTTTGTATCTGTTCTGCCATGTTGATGCTCATCTTTTTGGGAAAAAACTGAACACTAAAATGTTTGTGATATGCAGAGAAGATGCTACTGTTTTAAACAATTCAACAACATAGTGCTATGGTCGCTCGAATTCAGAGAAAAGTGATTTCACTTGTCAGTCCTGGTTTAATGTCAGTGTTTCCTCGGCAGTGTACTGGTTCCCCTCACTTTACCATTACACCAGCTATCCTTTCTCTTCTGTGGTTGCAATATAAGCAAACGTCAAAGACATGGCCTTCGATACAACAAGCAGACGTACGGTGGACCTCTGAAATGTGTGAAAACACTAAGTAACGCCGTCTTTCATTGCCAAGCACAGCCGGAGAAAGAGTCTCTAGCTAACTATTAGCACACTTGCGTCAATGTCAAGCACAACATGGCAAACTACGAGACTTCCGGCAGTCACTTTTCAAAATAGTACGTTTCTAGTTCGTCAACATTAAGAAATGTCGTCATTTGTTTTGTTTTATTCTATTTGCCAGTCTTATAATAGCACGGTGAACAATGCGTATATTTCGAGAGGCATAAAGCTTCAGTGTCCAAGCACCACACAGAATATTGAGCAAATACTTCCCCATTTCCAAGGGTGCCTTTCACCTTCCGACTGCAAACTTGACGGCTATCACATCAGGGGTTAGGGAGTACCACTCCATAAACAACATTATTCGCATATCAGCATTCAAGATACAATCAAAATGAACATAATCATATCATACTGCAGTTAGAACTAACGAGGAACGCCTTTATTTTCTTGGGGAAATTTGAGGGGCATCTGGTATGGTTTTAGCTAACTCTGGCTACCTTCATTTTGTTGCCAGGGATGCACCCTGTAGATCGTGAGCGCTAACTGTTTAACACACACACACACACACACACACACACACACACACACACACACACACGGCTCAATGGCTAGTTGCTAGCATGCTATTACAACATATTAATCATACCTTGTATTTGTCGAAGCCCGCAAGCTGGTCCTGAGTGACATAATCGTAAAGAGCCATGGTGGTACAGGCTGGCTCCAAAAGGACATAAATGGATATCTGTTCCTTTGGAAAAGCTAATCCACACGTTAGCTTCCGAGGCGAAGTACCATCTAGTTCGGCCGCTGTCGTTCACGCCGGGTGAGCTGATGTCGAAACATTTGAGCCACTCCTACTGAGCGCAAACATCAAACGTTAGCGGACTGGAGCTCACTACTGCCACCTCTGGCCTGGATGTTTGCGATAAAAAAAGAAAAAACAGTATGAAATTATGTCTCATGGTCCAAAATGACACGGTTTTATTATTCATGTTGTCACTTGAGAAAACGAATACGGGCAATGTTTGCTGATAATGACGCAGCTAACGCTATATTTAATAAGTGTTAGTTGGTCACAGCGGTCCGCCGTCTAGTGCTCTTAAACGTGACGTGGCTTTCCGCTCCAGCCGGAAGAAAGGGGCAGATCTGCTTGTTTGATGCTGACCAGTTGAGTTATTCCTCGATCCGAGAGTAAAAATCCCAACCTAAGGCATAATGTAAGTACTAACAATAGTTAAGTTGTATTGCAATAGGTGTCATTTTGTAATTTTCGTAAATCTTCATATGTAGCGTTCTTCTATTGGTTAACGCCAGTGCTGGTTCTAACGTAGCTAGTTAGCTAGCTAGCTAGGTTAAAGTTACTCAGATTGATGGTCCAAATCGACCACGATTTGTCAGATTTATTGACAACCATGTAATCCATGATAAAGCGAAGATTGTTACAATAATTCCGATGATTTTTGGATTCACATACACGCTAATCATGTACAGGATACAGCGACTAGCAGGTATTAGCGTTGTGTCTACATGAGGTGAACGCGTACAACGTTAGCTAGCTATTAGAGATGTGATTATGCCAGTGGGTTTGGATGCTTTACCTTAACCGTACATTAAATCATATACAACGTTAATCTCACTGCTAAACATTTTCTGAAGATGTATTTTTTTTTTCTTGTTTTTTTAATGTTGAATGCATTTTTTCCAACTTTCCAGACAGCCACATATTACCATTTTCAACACATTAGAAATTGATGAATTACTTGCAGAGATTTAAACGTCAACATCATGCTTCCTCTTATTGTGAATATCAAATAGTCATGGATGTAACCAAATGATTCCGAGATGTAAAAGGTGCGTTTGACTTTGGGGAAACGGATGGATGATGCGAAGTAAACATGACTGAATAGTAAGGTGACTAAAGTGAGCTAAACACTGGTATATTCCGTCGCTGCTTTTAACGAAAGTCTCCGTGTTTTTTTTTTTTTTAAAGACTGAATCAGCATACGTGTCTTCATGCTTTACAGAATGGTGACGGACGTGCAGCTGGCTATATTTGCCAACATGCTTGGCGTGTCGCTGTTCCTGCTGGTCGTGTTGTATCACTACGTTGCGGTGAACAACCCCAAGAAGCAGGAGTAGAGGACCAATGTGACAGGAGAGGTGAGGGCCACTAGTGTCAAAGATCGAACACGGTGCTGTGATGTGTAGCTTTGTGGTTGCTATTGTCAGTCATGTTCCACTGTGACCTCCAACAAGTCACATTTTCAACTCAATGCGACATTGTTGAATTAGTTCAGTAATTCCCACTAAATGTATACCAATGAAAGTGAAAACTGCAGGGTCGTGATTTGTTGGTATGACACACAGAATCATGGTGCCTTGCATGTTTCCATGGTTGTGGTTACACCTGCCTGACACCCACGGCTATACTAGTATTATTATTTGTCACATTTCTATTACTATTACTGCTTTTGTTATCATGGACATTCTATTATATCCGCTGCTGTTATTATAGTTATACTTTTTTTACTTAATATTTCTGCTATTGGTGCTACTACTATCATGAAAGGTATCATTTCTGTGTTATGGATTAACTCTGTTGTTCATTCTGAACACTTGACATCGATCACACTTGTGTCCATCCTGGGACAGAGGATGTTATGTGCTGTACAGATTGTAAAGCCCTCTGTGTCAAATGTGTGTTTTGTGACACTGGGCTATACAAATGAATTGAGTGAGTTGCCACTTGATTATTGAGCATCAGTAAATATGTGGAAGCATAAATGCTTGTTTGTGACCTCTCATAGTCTCGTTCGAGAGTGGAAGCACATTGCGCTACAAAGAGGATTATTCTTTCTGAGGTTTAACACGTGTGAACCTGCTTAAAGTCTTTTCCTCCCCACAGGTGAGATAGGACTCAATGCCACCACCAAGGAAACAACATTCCCCACTTCAAGTCCCAAGAGATGAATTTCTTTCTACGGTTGCACAGTAGTGTTTTTTTCTAATAAAAATGTGTGAATGCCATTTGCATTAATGTGTCATGTATTCCTTTAGTTATGCATGCACACTGTGACTCACTGGTCCTGCAATCCTGCATCCTTCAATCAGAGGATCGGCAGTTCGATCCCCGCTAGTCTGTGTTGATGTGTCGGGCGAGACACTTAACCCCAAATTGCTCCCGTAAACTGCGACGTGTGAATGATGGTTAGTGATGGGCAGGTGGCACCTTACATGGTAGCCCTGTCATCAGTGTGTGTGAATAATGACATGTAGCGTTAAAGAGCTTTGAGTGGTTGGAAGACTAGAAAAGAGAAATGCAAGTCCAGTCCATTTACACTAGATACACTCACATTAAGGTATATTGCAAAATGCAAATAAAAAATGGGGAGCTTTTTCAAGTTCATTTATTCATACTTCAAGTTTGATTCAACACAGTATCAGTCAGTGTAAGTAATTTGCCAAAAATCAGTTAGATATGAATATTGCATAAAAAATACAACTGTAACCATTTACCTTACACAAAATATTGATATCACGTGTATGTATATGTGTGTATATATGTGTATATATATGTGTATATATATGTATATGTATATGTATGTATATGTATATGTATATATGTATGTGTATATGTATATGTATGTATATATGTGTATATGTATATATGTATGTATATATGTGTATATGTATATATGTATGTATATATGTGTATATGTATAT